TATATTATTTGTTTGTTCTATATCTTTTTTGGCGCAGAATCACCTTCTTTTCTCTTATACCATTATTTCGATAACATCCTGTATAAATGTATCGAAAATAAGACATCAATCATTTTTTTAAACATATTTCATCTATAAAAAGTATCTCTTCACTTTAATTTCTGATTAGGAAATACGAAATATGGAAAAAGGTCATTTACCGTCCTTTTGTCAGTCTGTCAATTCCACAAAATAAACATTCATAGACTCCTACATTCTTCCTTTAGTTTGTACTAATGCATATGGAAAACATTGTAGGAAAATCATATTTGACTTGATTAACAATTACGTTACTCTCGGAACGTTAAAAATGCTATAAAAAAAATGAAATTCCTTCAATCACACGAATCCAGAGGATGATTATGAAAGACCGTGGTTTTCTGATCGAATATCGAAACCTACAATATACTAAACGGTTGATCCTTACGTATCATCCATGTATTTCCTTACATAAGACATGAAATCTACCAATGCAGTAGACATTGATTTATCTACAACTTTTTGTGGAAGCCAGCCTTTCAAATTCGTATTAATTATCCACGTAAATCGACATTTACTCTCGTCATTAGGTAATTGTTCTGCTGCACAACAGCTTAGCTTGTTCTCAGCTCTTTAACAAAACGTTAGCACAAATAATTAGTTTTTGATATAGCACAATCTTAAAGATGTATCTTGCAATCTTACCTGACGACGTTACTGCGATTTGGTAATGACGTAAAAGGCACTGACATTCCACTATTTATATAATAGTTACCGTACTGCACACGATGTCTTAAAATAACGAAATCACGAGCGCCAATAATGCCTCCTCCTTGGGCACTTGTGGCTTGATAAACAATATCTGTATTTTCATCAATGTCCTGATTGAGAAATCACAATTTGTAATTTTAATAAATATGTAAAAAATAAGACATAATAAAAAAGATGTTACCTGTAACTTTTTCGACTCTGTAACGAGTCTATTCCATGACGGTGTTAATTCAACTTCGTCGAATAATCTGTTCACGAGTATACCAGCTGGAGCTTCAATAGTTCCCTTAAAAAATCATATGATATCAATTTCACAATAAAAAATCTTCAATATATATAAACTTAATATCCCATTTAAACTTACTACTATCTTTAATGTTTTCCCTTCCTTAGGACGGTTTATATAAAAGATAATATCACCATTTGACATTATATTTTGAATTTGCCAATCTTTAGATTGCAATAAATCGTGGCAAGTTTGCACTAATATATATGCTCTTCGTTTATAGTCCTGTATCTATAAACATTAAAGAATCGTTTAAAAAAGACTATTAAACGTACTAATATCTTGCTAGGATTTATTATACAATTTTTTCTCACCATCTCTGTCGTGAGTTTTGGTAGAGACTTAGGTGGAAATACTTCAGTTGCTTTTGATAAGCCCCGAGTATTACCTGGTGTTCTAGAACTTTCATCCTCGTTATCAGAATGAGCTGGTGAATCCATAGGTGTAAAAAATGTACCAGGTTCGCTGGTATATTGACGTGATTCCGAAACAACTCCTCGAAGGAGCGGTTCTCTTTCATTATCCGTAAAATCTAAAATCAGTTCGAAAATTCTGTTTACCACTGATACACAACATCCATCTTAATGTTCAATAATGAAAATAATTATAAATATCGTACTTCTAAACCAATTTCTGGCTTGTGTTTCCTGCGGTAACACGCGAATATCAAAGAACCAAGCCTCCACCCAAGGCAATACAAAAGATGTAAGGATAAGAAGAACCTGAAATACTGGTTGATTGCATATCGACCACTAAAAATGAAAGTGATAAAGTAATAAGTCTGTTATTATAAATATTTAATGCATAAACAAAGACTTGGCACTTACATCAAAAAGAAACACTTTAGCAATTAAGAAAGCACACGTCGTGGCAGTTGTCAACTGTAACAAATCATATAGCGTTTCTTTTATACAATATCGTATATTACTATTTTACGATTAATCGCATTCTAATCGTTTACAAAATTACGATACTTACAGCTACGATAATACAATGATCCAAATGGAGCAGAGCATAGAAGAGCAACAACACGGTAAACCTGCAAATCGCTGCCATCTGAGAAGATGAAATCCTTAGAATCTCTGTTTTCGACGAAGTGAATGTCATTTTGGACATTGTTCTTCGTTCTTTTTCGAATAGTTATCGCCATATAATTACCATGGTACTTACCACTATGTCGAAGAGTGAGGTTTTTATGTGATAATGGACTACTTGATTCATGAAGGCGGACTCCAAACTCTCACCGGCGATCTAGATATACATTTCGGGTAAGTTGATAATATTTCATGTATGATCAAACGAACATAAATGAAAAAGCTATTTTTTCTCCAATTGCGAATTAGTTGCGGTAACATGTGCAATTTACCATTGTACAAATGAGCCACATGAGGAATGTAAGCAGGAGGTCGAAGGTGACGAAGAGGCAAAAGAAGCGTCTGACGTTGGACATCCTCCCGTTATGCATGGCACCCGCGATAAGGTCCTCGCTAAGGATGATATCCGGAGTTCGCGTTACATTTTGTTGAGTGTACAAACTCCTGTGGGAGTTTACAGATTCATTCAGCAAGGTTTCTGCGGCCGCTCTAATTTGCCTCTCGTCTTCTGCCATTCTCTACAGTATCTTCTGATATGCGCAACAGTAACCTGAAGAATAAAATTTCCAACACGGGTTAATATTCTTTAATCACGATTAACGTTTCAAGAATAATATATCGAATCGATACTATACCTACTGGAAATACATACCGATTATTTGAGACTAAAACTAGGAATTCTGCCATTATATAATATAACATGTTTACACGTTATATTTACATTCGTTATTTTGTGTATTTGTGCATTGTTAGACTATTGGTTTATTTAAATTACCGAATGAAAAAAAGATTGTTTATATTGTTATATATTGATATTGGAAACGTGTATTAGTGTACGACTCAGAACACTTTAAATCTATTGTACTATTGTGAGTAACTGGCTTTTATTGTTTGTTTTTTCAAATGCGCTTCGATATGTATTGTGATTCCGGGACTACGCAATAATGCAATTTCTTTTATAAGATATCAAGTGATCGAATTGACATTCTTAAGAGATAAAAATTATACCACCCTATAAGATAAAAGTTAGTAAGTACTAATAATCATGGCAATTTTTGTTTCAACTTCGTTTACATCTACAAGAAACAAGTTCAGAATTATGTAGTTGAAAATTATATTTATAATCATTGATTTTCCTACAAGGACGTGATCATCGTGCACAAAGGTATCATCTAGTTCAATTATCACGAACATTATTTTTCTATTTTTATATACTCGTGTACATGTACATAATTTCGATAGCAAAGAATTATTTATTTATTTAGATCGAAGTATTTACATTTATTGGGTTCATTAATACAAACAAATAAATATATATTCGCGTCAACCGATATCGAGTTATATACATGTGTTGTTCAATTACATACATTTTACTGAAGTCATTTTTTGGTTCATAAGCGATTACATAAAAGAAATCTACACTTTACATGTTTTTTACAATGATCGAAGTATAAAATAAATGAGAAATGTACGAATGAATTGGACTCATAAAAATTACATTTTCACATTAAAATATTGAAAACAGATCTGCTAATAACTTTACTCTTATCCACTATCTTACAGAAATTTGTTCGATACTTATCACGATAACGATTTTATTTATCTTCAAATATTTGTTTGAGCGTGTGTTTAAAATTTTTTCGTTACATCCGATGAATCATATTTTTATACCTTTTTCTTCCAGAAATAGCTTCATTTTTTAACAAAATACACAAGTAAACTTTAAGGTCCGAAAGTACATATACGAAATGCAACAGCTGATGCGGTCGATGGCCTTACCAATGCTAAGAAAACATTTCCTCAAAATATATATAGAATCATGTTTATTGTGTAAATCGTACAGTCTCCTCCAATACTGTTTCCGTAATCATGAATAAAATGCTAATAACAAAGAATCTCTCCCGGTGTATTCAGCTGAATTGACGTTAACGAAACATTTTAACCTCAAACTTTATGAAGAAGCGTTCAGACTGACAGTTTGAAGATAATTAACTTGTTTTCCCAGATTTTTTAATATAATACTATTTATAAAATTTTGACTTGTATATCTCAATAAATAAAGAATGTAAAAACTATATTGTCTTCATTAGAATAAAAAAGAATCATGAATGAATGACTTGTTTACCGTTTAAGTCTTATAGGTCCTCATAAATCCAATCGCATCGGTGAAGAATTAAGCGTTAACATATTCCACTCGAGTATCATTCCGAAGGAAAGAATTTCCAACGAAATGTTTAATTTTAAACAGCACCACTAATATTTCGAGTTTCGTTGTACAGAGATAAATATTTGCAAATCTAGCAATTTATCTACATGAGTTGCACATAAATTTTTTACTATATGGACAACGGTGGCGCCATGTGATGGTGATGAACATAGTGACATCTTTCGATGTTTTTATACGAGAAGAAGTTAATTTATCTGCGTATAAAAAATAATATTTACTGAATATATTTTAATATTTAGATTAATATTTTTGTATTTGTAATTATTACTAACATAGATGAGGTAACATGGGCAGCACAGAATAGATCTAGAAGACTGTGTATTCTGTTGTCTCACATCTCGGGGGATTCTAGTGTCATTTCCAATATTACCGACACAACATGAAATAAGATTAGAATAGAGACAAAATTAGATAGATTTTTCTACTTAATACTTTAATATTTAAAAGCATTAAACAAAGGCTCTTTTAATTTGTCGTTCTAAATTAGACAATGTATCTTTATATAAAAAGGGCGCACAATGGGCTTAGTTTAGATACACATGAACATTATAAAAGATAATTATACAAACTGAGCAAATAAACAATTGATTAGAACTTTTACGTATAAACAATATTTTTGTTCCTTTATTCCTAAGAAATACAATTTCATAAAAATTCACTGATATTACATTTACATGAACATTACTTATATTGATTTTATTACTGCTATTCATTGGAATATGGTTTACATTAACTTATACATGTACATAATTATATTGCAGAATGCAAAACGTTATAAAATTATAGTAGTCTTTGAAAAATTGTACATATATATCAAATCAAATGCGGTTTATAAAATTCCAAAACATTCTGAGATACAAAAGTGCAAATTTCACATACTGTGAAAGCCTTGTTAATCTTCAATACATCAAAACTGTTGATACTTCCCACCTTCTAACTATTTCCCACCTTCTTAAATTAAATCAAAACTAAATTTTTATTCAAAATAAATACTTATCAATCTGGAAGGGTTAGCGCTCGTAAAGAATCTTCAGGATAAGTCTCCAATACTGCAGTAGTCCCAAAATTGAATGGCACTGCTATGCCACCATCAAGGACTAAACCAGCATCGTAACATTGTGATGTTACTGTCAGCTTTTTACAAAATCCACGAGGTTGCAGACACTTTGGTGTAGGCCAGATGCTATTTACCATCATATCTCTTACAGAATAACACAATTTTAATTCCTCTAAAATACAAATATTATATTATATATACATATTTTATTACAACTTTTTTTACTTAATACAATATTATACTTACCCGCATGAAAAGGTAAACCAGCATTGAAAGTAGAAGAGATTTTTTCAATCTCTTCATTGTCAATTTGTTTTTTATCTAAAAGGCTCAGTATTTCTTTTACTACTTGTGGACTAACAGTATTTATAGATCTATACCAAGATGTTGATCCTGTTCCTGTGCTAACACACAAGCCAGAACTTCTTACCAAATGATATTTCTCTTCATTATTTAAATTTATTAGTAAATTACTTATTCTAGCAGAAAGTATTTCTGCTATAAATACCTAGATGTTTAAAAAATGTTAAATTTAAATCCATAATTATTAAAAAACACATGATTTATTTGCGTGTAACTTACTTCATTTAATGCCAACCAAGGCAAACGTCTTTTTTTTGGTAACTTATTTGATATTTCTTGCTTCAGATCTTGTGTGTAAAATCTGTAATAGTAAAACATTTTTGTAATGTATGATGTCTTCAAATTTTGTTATATAAAAAGTGATTCTCTCTCTCTTAATTTATTACTTTTCTTCACCTACAACGCGACCTTTTTCGTGCGTGTGGAAGGGAGGGTCCCAAATATTATCTCCCTTTATCGTCGTACGAATTCTTCGTCTCATTACTACGTTGTAATGACCTGCTTTTAGCATTTCGAAAATTTCAGGTATCCTTGTCGTATATTTCGGAGATAACATAAGATATCCTTCCGATCTTTCCGGAAATGAATTAATACCAATTATTGGTGTCTTGTCATCGAATATCATATTTGACGCCAACAGAAACGTTCCATCGCCACCAATCGGAAGAATTAAATCAGCCCAAATAAAATTTGATCTGTCTAGATTTTCCCTTATAGAACATACATAAGCATAATAATCAGGATAAACACAGCGCTAGTTTAACAAATATTTAACTCAACAAAGATTCATAGAATAAGAATTATGTATTTTTACCTATTTATTATTTTATACTCTATATTCAGTTTCTTCAAGACTTCAATTACTTGACTTTTTACATGTTTGGTTGCTATATGACTAGCTATCATTGTATCATAATCAGAACCTCTTTCCAACAATTTAAACTTTAATTGTTCGTCACTCAAGTTTGGTTCTCGTATTTTTTCAAAATGATATCGCGACAATTTTGCCACAATGAGCACTCGCTTCGGTACAAAATTCGATTCATTTCGGAGGAATAACCTAAGATTATTGGAAGCATTGTACTTATGCGGTTGTAAAAATTGTACAGCTCCTAGAAAAATATAAAGCGTAAATTAAGTTATCGATTGATTTTCTAAAAACTCCAAAATAATAAATAATGAGAAATGACACCTGTATACATTTGTCATAGCAGTATAACAAATGTATTTAAACAACCATTAAATATTTCATTTTGATTTTTATAAGAAATATCAAATTATATAACATTTACGTACATATTTTTTTTATTGTTATGGCTTTATTTATGAGCTTCATGTGTAGAAAGTACGTATTCACAGTACTTTTACATTTTAATGTAATTTTAATGTCTCCATTATTATTAACGAGACCATCGATTGACGGATGATTAATATCCAATTAATCTTGTGTTTGAAATCGTTCAAAATAAAATATATACTAAAGTTATTATTAGAATTTGTTTTTTGTTTTGCGAATTTTCATTGGAGCGTCTTGACATTACGTATCGTCACCAATGGAATTAAACGCTACTGATAATGATAATTGACTTACTGGCAGATCTTTTTCGAAGATGGTTGAGAGTCGTCATCGCATACTGCTTAAAAAATTGATATACGAAATGCGAACAAATAATACAAAACAAAGAAATATTAAGCACGTTAAAACGTTTCTAACCTCTCCACTGGCACAAACGGTAAATACTACAGCAATGACATATATATATATGTGAGTTAGCATACATATATATATAGCAGTATAACGGGCATGAATTTTCAAAGACTAGTACAGCGACCGCGGGAAATACGAATGCGTATAATTTCTTTTCATTGATAAAATAATAGTTTATTAAATTTAATGATTAATTAAAAGAAAAGTTACTAAGCGTGAAAGATAAAATTGCATAGTTAACACGTTGATGGCCGCGTAAATTTTAAATATCCTGCCTATAGCGCCGAAGCACGATCACTAATTTTAAAATAATATATACCATAATATCATAATGTCCATATAATATAAACATATCCCAGTGAAAGCAAATTAGTTAAGTATTTTATGTTGCATTTAGAATATTTTAGAATATTATTATTTAGAATATTGAAAGTATTAGAAATTTTACAATTATGACTCTTTTAAATTTAAATATATACTTAAACTGAGCTTTATGTGCCATGTGCCATTGATAAGTTTAGTTCCGGTCACTAATACACCATACTATTTAACATGTTAAAGATGTACTAAAGAAAGTGTTTTAAAGAAAATGTGTCAAAAGAAATGTATTAAAAAAAAAATTGTAAATGCTTCGATGTCTATTCATATTGATATAAAAAAGTCATTGACAAATTACGAAGTAATAAGAGATAACATAAAAGAACGTTTCCATTTCTAAACTCAAGCGTTTTGAAATAATTGAGAAAAAAAGATTTCACTGTACAGATACACGCTTCGCTTACACTTTATTAATTCATTTGCAATACATTAATTAAGTCTGTTTAAATAGCATCGAGGCTACCTACTGTATGCCTTCGTTTATACTATAGACAATCATCTAGCTTAAACACACACTCTGGCTTCCAATAATCTCTTTTTCTCGTTCTCTCACTCTCACTCATTCCTTTTCTTTCGTTCTCTCTTCGTGTTCTCCTTTCTCATTTGCGCAGTTTTTAATTTCTCTTTAATCTGTTCCATTATCGATATCGTTTATCGTTATTGTTATTACCATTGTCATTATCATTATACCATATAATATATCATAAGATCGACATTAAAAACTAAAATTCGTATAAAAAGCGTCGTTATTCATACTAACAATGTAACTGTACTATTTAAATAATAATTGAATCTTAAAAAATTATTTGTTCTTGTTGTTATTGGTGGTGTATCTGAATGTATGAGATGTCTAATGCATCGACTATAATACGAGGGTGCAAGGCGTGCATAAAGTGATGTACACACATGTTTCACGCATACGTTTACGTCGACTTGCATTCTAAGAACGTTTGGTAAGATCGCGAAATGCCCCGACAATGCGCTCACGTATTAAAATATAATAACGTTGTATATTTTATATTATTTATCACTGTGAAAACCAACGATCGTCCTAAAGAAGAAAAATTCCGAGACGTACATATATAGATTGATTTGCGAAAATAAAAAAATTAGTAAGAAAATGACTATATGGTCATTTAATATAAACGTATTGTCTGCAAATGAAATTAAAAAGTGATAATAAAAAGACGCGCGTTTTTACTCGTTACGATCTTACTGTTACCGATCGTTCTTAGACCATGTCAGGACGACAATACATCCATCTTGCGTATTCAGCCGCACCCTGCATATTTCGTTAATCGTCATTCACGTTGTAGTCGTTTTCACGCGGCATTTTATAATCTAGCTAATACTTTTACATACTACGAATGTTTAGCACATATCACTACGGCCGAACCACTTCTCTCTCTCTCTCTCTCTCTCTCTCGCTCGCTCTCTTTCTTTCTCTATTCTCTTTTTAACCGTTGTTATTACATAATTATCCGCTATTACGAGCAATAATGTACATCAATTACATAAAAAACAAGATATCATTAATGTTCTTGTGTTAATCGTTTTATCGTCGTGCGATGGTCACATTTACGAAGGTACCGCGGCTTATCTAATGAATCCAAGACTTACTACCGACACCATCATTCATACGTAGCATGTTCTTACATCGCCCTGTCGCACGATATCCGTTTCGAAACGTGTTTGGGTTGTTTCATCGTCCCGGGTACACTGCGTGTGAGATATTACATTATTGTAATCCTATCGAGAAATCGATTATCGCTTAAAAAACTCGCGTTATTATTACGAACAATCAAACTCGAGGTCCTGTCGGAACTCGACGCGGATAAAATTCAACGACGCTTACATTTCACAGTGTAACGCTACGCACCATGTAGGATAAAACTGCTTTAATTTGTTAAAAAAAAAAAAAAAAAAGAACGTGAACATGATAGTCCATTGCCTTGCTTTAAAATTTATAACTTTTTTCTTTCTTTGTTAAAAGCGACTGCCATTCAACGCATACAATTGTACTGTGTTCACTCTAAGGTAAATGGAATTTTTAATTCATATTGCTTTCATATATGATATTTGAATCCGAATGATATCAGTTGAGTTACTGTAGCACTAGTATTAGCCATGCTAAATCAGATTTATTAAAACGTACTTAGTCAACAAAAACCATTCACTTTCAGACTTTAACAGACTACATTTTCGAACGTTCATATATTTTATTTTATCCTATGTCTTATAGGTTTAATTCTCCCTTGCAAATTAATTACTTATCAAGTTTCGTTTGACATAGGTAAAGAGATTTACATTTCTTTTTATAAAAATTCACGTCGAGTTATTAAGATACTCTGTTTGTGTGCAATCATTCAATCAAATAAGCCTCATTTCCGTTCACCCATGATTCAAACATAAATAAATAAAGTAAAAAGCGAATTAATAAAAAGAAAGGGACAAAGAATCCGTGGAATGGCATTAACTCCGTCCTTAATTGGAAGATTGACTTCGTCATTCTGTTGTATATCTTACTGTACAGCAAATGTTACCCTTATCGTGCTGACGTTTTCGTGGGCAGAAGTGTTACGTGTATGTGTGTTGCATGTTCGTGTGACGTGACTATCTATATAGTATACATATACACTATATTCATATTTATACATTTATATTTATATTTATATATATTTATATATATTTATATATACCTCTTCTTTTCACATTCATTACTTTGCAAAATATTTCTTTTGCCGACACGCCGGCACTAAGCCCGTATAATACAATTGCAAATTACATTCTTGTTTGCTTAGGCAAAAATTTACTCGTTTTATTCAGTAAGTACAGTGACCATCTGCATTGTGTTTCATTTCTACTCGGGAAGCAGGGAGTTTGGAGGCTTCGAACGAGTAGATGCATTCCCATACATGGGTGTTTTTAGTCGCGCCGATCTTAAGAAGCTCCGAATCACAAAATGTAATCTATATCGTAAAGTCTTTGTCACGGCTTCCGGCCATGATAAGTTTTATAACTTCTCTCATGATCCTACTAACAATCCTTATGTTGTTCGTTAAACGTAACTTGAGTTTCGTTCAGCAGAGGCATCTCGACGAATATATATATATATAATTCTTGCAACATCGCGGTTTTTTTCTTTAGTTCGCCGTTGATGCTACAGAGAGGGGAAGTACGAGCCGTTAAAGACGTTCGTCACCATTAGATTAGTTTCGAGTATTAAGGTATGTGTGTACTTAGAAGGAGAGAAGCAGCCACGCGAGCGTCGATTACGGGTGAGTAACGAGTACATAGGATGAGAAGAGGCGAATGTGTAACACGTACGTAACGCGACGCATACGAAGATGTACCCGTATTCGTGGACTTCCTATTACTGTTTTTTGTTTTCTCTCTATTAGTATTAAAGTTGTTCGGTCAGCCGCTAGAACGAGGCCGACGGAGCACAGAGAAAACAGGACTCGCCGTTAGTCTCTTGGACGATTCCTAATGATACTCTATGTCAAGGGATCTATCCTCTAGTAGTAGAAGTGGGCAAAACTGTTGCAGGTGTTGCGAGAGCGAACCGAGCCTCAGCTATGCGTTTGTGGGTGTGGAGGTGGTGCGCCAGTAATCTCGGTCCAACGCATTTCGAAGAAACTGCGCATCCCGTGTCCAGCCTTCCCCACGGGACTGTCATCCTCGTTGAATACCTCGCAGTTGATGAACATCTGTCTGACATCGGCGCAAAACTCATCGCGAGACTTGTACCTGTATCGAGAAGCACTCTTTGGAACATATTCGGCAATTTTCCAATTTGTTCGGATTGAAGCTGACGATCACGTTAGAGCTTTTTTCTAGAGATCTTAGGTGAACTGTTTACTTTTTTTTTTATGTTTAGGGAAAGAGGCATTTCTAAATAGAGAGTACGTTCAATTAACTAGTAGTCGTTGGTACGCGTGTAACTTACACGGAGTCCTGCAATTTCTTCTTGATCGTACTGAGATCCATGGGTGTTTTAATAATTTTCTTGTAGGTAGGAAACTGTTTGGTGTTCACCGGCAAGAGGAACGGCCAGGCCTCGTCCTGTTGCTCCAACTGTTCGAGTAGCACCTTACAAGGAGCCAACTCTCGTTGCTGTTTCTTCGTGAGCGTCCTATTGTTTCCCTCCTTCCGTGGCGAAGCAGTTGGGGTTGCCGGTTCCGATGAACTGACGTCCTCTACGTGTGTGTTCGATGCCGTTGACGGCGTTGGACTGCGACGCAAAACAACAGAAATTATTTGCACGTTTATCTTTCTCGTTTGCAGGAGGTTTTTCCGTCATAAAAGCTTCTGGACGAATGCATTAAGACTCGAGCGTGTTTTTTCTGCTTGAGACGGGTACGTTGTTCTCGATGGAACATTTCGTCTTTCTGACTCTTTGTCTTTCGTTTATATTTGGTCTCCCTTTTTTCTCTCTCGCCGTTTTTTTTGCCCTTCTATGGTTTATTATTATTATTATTATTGTTATTATTATTATTATTATTATTATTATTATTATTATTATTATTATTATTATACATTTTCGAGTAATCATAGAACCTGAAGGCAGCACTACCGTTACGACGAATTTTCTAAGAAAATACCCATCCCATACTTGATGATCGTAACACGCTGTACAAAGTACAGGGTGTCCCCCGACGAGAAGGGACCTGACGCTATGGTATATTCACAGGGTATCGATGATTGCTTTTTAGTTAGTAGAAGAACAACATTAACTACGATTAACCTATCGTGGAACACCCTGTATGGAGTAAATACTTCTTTACAACAATAACTTTCGACGAGTATGTACGATACGAGTCGAGGATATAAGTCGGTATAATCGCATGAGAACAGTGTATACTTTCTATGTTCGTTCGTTTTAAAGCGGTTCTTTTGTTTCATATTCGATCGGAAATTGTTTGTTTATCGTATACGTTCGCTGAACAATGTTATAATTATTGAGTCATGGTTTCGTAGCTGTTTTCCCTACTGTATACTTCGTATGAAACGTTGTTAAATCAGCGAGTTGACAATGTTTGGTTTTTTAACGTAATCACCTAGCTGGTGGATGATCAGAACTTTCACTTTCTCTGGTGCCTGCCCCTTTGGTATGACTCCTTCGACTACTATTTCTCTTCTTTGGTTGTTTACTGTGGCAATTAGAACAATACCATTTACCCCTTGGCATCTGAAAATATCAAGTATGCACGTGAATCAAGCAGATAAAGATATTTTATTCAAGGAAAGCCTCGATACATTCTATGGTTTGTAAACAATAGATAAAATAATTTCTTACTTTTGGCATAACAGGATTGTGGCAGTCAGTGTGATAAGCCCGTGGACAGAGTTCACATAGCACTAAATTTTTACCAACCCTCTTTCCACATACCAAACAGTTTCGTTCCCCTGTAGCTTTGTTCATGCATTCGTGACAATACCTAAGATATTTACAATCGTTTAATTACAAAACCAGTTTTTACTATTTCTTGTACGTTTAAGATACAATTTCTTACCAGTCACCATCAGGAATGTTTTCCATTTTTGGACGGAAACAATAAGTATGATAGCCGCGGTCACAACCATCACACAGTAATAGTTTGTCTTCGTTATCTCCGCTATGACAGAACTGACAATTCTGTAACAGAAAAAGAAAATTTTCCAATTTAAAATGTTAAAACACATTGTTCGGGGTAAATTAATTGTAATGTTTCAGCGTTTTGTTATTCAAGCATTTAAAGCTAAACCCCATGGATGCAATAAATGTTAATAAGCAAAGAATACAATAAATAAGTGGGATAAATCAACATTCAGGAATATTTAATTAACGAAATGAGAGTAAAGCATTTTAATTCCGTTCGTGTCGTGCATATCGTCATTGTTATAATTTATTATGTAATTAAGATTGAGTATAAATGGCGAGTCGGGATAAAAGAATAATAGATATATTTCGATGCTTAGATTATGCATATAGTATAAAGTCGTTATAACTAAACATCGAAGCTACTCTACAAAAGGAAAAATATGAAGCAATAAAGGAAAAAATGAGTAGATGATAAGCGGCATATTTTCTTGCATGCTACCGTTACGTTAGACTCTAACCACCATTAAACTTGTTAACGTATTATTCATTTTTCAAATTATAGCAATTTAAAGTAACTTAGTTTGTAAGTTTAGAATTGATAAAATATCAAACTATTTCAAATAACAATGATGAAAGCGTATCAAATAATTTAATTTTTCTATATTTGATTTTTCGCTAATTTACAACTATGGCTGCCGCATTATTCGCACTTATAAAAATTACCATTAATTCGTATTAAACTTCCTTAAAATATCGTATGTAAGTATGTATATTATTGGAAAATACCACGGTAAGAGCATTTCGTTTGACTGAACGTTTACCAATCATCATCGAAAGCGATAATGTTCTCTGTGGTTCACTGTGCAAGGAAGGACGAAAGAGTCACGCAGGAAGTAAAAAGGATACTTTGGTTAGTAAGTTAGTGCGAATACCCACAGAGGCCTGAGAAGTAGTCAATAGCTGATTGTATTGAGTGGTAGCTTTGAGTGAGACGCAGCGGTTTCGTAGCTTGACGCAGACCGAGTTTCTAGCTGGTGTTAGACTCACAGCCTTCATGATGCTCTTGTCCCAAGCGATGCTGGCCTCCAACATATAAAGCGCCATGGCGAGCTGAGCGGACGTGTGTGCTCGAGCCGTTGCTTCTCGCCAGTTGTTCAGCCCTCTTGGAGTTGTTTCTTCTTGAGGTATCGGGGTCTGATTGCTCTGATCCGAATTATTCGAATTTGCGTTAGCAGCGGCCGCTTGTTCTGCCTTTAAGGCCGCTAGATTTGGATCTCCAGTACTATAATTTAAAATGAAATATTTAAATTTGAAATGCAGACAGAAAAACATTTAAATTGTAGAATAATATTGAACTAAAATAACTAGGGTATGTAAAGCCTAAATACTAGTAGATAGTCTTACCAAACGCCTAACGGTGGTTTTAAGTATCTCCTTTCAATAGCTGCTTCCAGGGACAGTAACCTTTGTCGAGCTTGTTCAACCGCGCTAATTTTTTCCATTTCGTTCAGTTTTTCAATTTCTTCTGCCTCTTCGGTTCCTGCTCGTGGAGGTAACTTCCAGCCTTTGATCTGCATGCTGGCATTTGCGACTTTATCTTCTAGAGCCTCGACTTGTTCCAAGAGCTGCGCATCTACCCGTAATGCGACTTGTTCACTCCAGTCAGCCGGGTTGTCTGGTTTTGGAATCGGTGTGTCGGGTTCGTCTGGTGTCGCTTGAAGTTCGGTAGCAGTCAGGTTACCAGGGTCCACGTTGATCTTGCCCGTAACAGCTAGGAAAGATTCCATGGTCGCCCACGTTGTACGTTTTAGTTCTTTCTCGCGAACACCGCGAGAATGAAGGTGCTCCAATAGTTCTTGAAACGTGTCTACGTCCGTTATTCTCCACCAACCATATCTCAAATCTAAATATGAACGAAGAGAGACGTTAGTCTTAAGAATTTATCTTAAACATAACTTTTAGTTATGTCTTTTAGCTAGAGCTCTAGCATATGTTACTTACCTTTTGGTACTGGTTTGGCTTCTCCAGGGGGTGGTAAACCATGCACTTTCAAATACTCAAGTTGCGCTGCTTCGTCTTGAGTCAAAATCAAAGGAGCTGGACTGTCGCACCTGTCATAATTTGGACTAGCCGGCGGAGGGAACACTGGTATTCTCAGTTCGGTTGGTTCGGCTATTCCAAATATTTGCTTGGTACTTGGTCCTGGAGTATCGCAAGTCTCGCGAGGTAAAATCGAGAACCAATTGGATTCGTTGCTATTATCTGGAATTATTAGCGTAAAGCACATTAATAAAACGTCTTTAATAATACTTTACATCAACAGTAAATGGAGACAATCTTACTAGATATAAAGGTGCCGTTTAATTCTTTTCCATTATGAAGATTGTTAACATGGTTGAACTTATCACCGTTTGGAATTGTTTCGACGATTTTATCTTCCATTATCTTCACCGCTGGTTTCATGTCTTCATCTGCTTCGTCGTTCTCCTTTTTCGTCTCTTCTTTGATATCGACATCCATACCAACTATCTCTGTTTCTTGTTTAATCTCTTCAGACGTGACGTTGGTCTTCGCATCGGTCATCGAATTATCCAAATCATTCTTTTTCTCTTCCTTCATGTTCGCCAAATTCTCGCAGTTTTGCATAGGTTCTTTCTTGCAATTAACATCTTCACTTTCAGATTTCGTTTTGTCCGCCAAAGGCTTGACGTCGGCCTCTTGCTCGCTCGAATTGAATTTCTTCTCCTTCTTTACGTCGTTAGGAGCTTCGTTCTCGCGATTTTCGACTTTGGTGTCCTCCTGCTTCGTTTCTGATTTTTCCTCCATCGACACGTTTTTGTACTTTTCGTCTAGTTCAGCCTGCAACTCTAGGATTTCTGGTTCAGCGCTTTCCATGGCTTCGACAAAGATGCCACCAGCGCATGCCAGCTCCCAGTATCTTCTCCAGTATCTGTCTTGCCCAAATATATGTGCTCGTAGCTGTTTCGAGAAGCTGTTCAATTTCTGCAATTGTTCCTCTGACTGTTTCAACAGTTTATCCAATTTTTTACCCAGTTCTTCGCCGGACAGATTTTTGTCCTCCTCCTAAGTTACGCACAAAAGAATTAAACCATCTTTCAGAATAGAGCAATCAACTGTATTTTATTAAATTGTAATTTATTGAACTATATAATTTACCTCCTCGGGCTGAGTTCCTTCGCTCTCATTCTCGGACATGTCTTCAACCTCGTCTTCGTGATGAATTTCATCAGGAGTGGGTGTCGTCCCCACTGCTGTCGACGTCGTGTTACCTTCTTCGTCAACCTCTTTCTTCTCGATCGTAATAGTATCTCCAGTTTTGTTAACGATTACGCCAACTGCTTCCATTCGAACCTTTCGACTATGCAACTGCCTCAATCTACGAAAAAGATGGAAAAGAATCAATCATTATCACAAAGATACACAGTATCTGGACACTTCCTTACCTTTAACCAAATGTATTTTAATTATAAGATTACCGATAAATCAAATTGCAATGATTTTATTCTTCATAATCGCTATTGTGATTATATAGTAGTATCATTGATCTTATTCCAATAGGTAATGTAAATTTATAGTCTAACGATTCCTTCGAAAGTTAATAAGTGTTGCTTGTAACTAATAATTTATCATTAATTTACATACGTTGGAAAAATTCAAAGCAAAGTTAGTATAAAGCGACCAAACTATTTGAATATTTAAGATAGTATAAATTACATAATAGTATAGTAACGCCAAGTGGTAGTATACATCAAAGTATTAGCATAAAAAAATACTTACTTCCTAATTTTTGTATCCAACACAAATCTCTCTTTCCTCAATTGAGCTACCGTCTCCAAGCTACCTTCGATCTGTCGGATCACAGCCTTGTTCTGCAATAGCTCGTTGCAGAGAAACGCGAGCATCTGCGCCTTATGAGTGGGATTCAAGGCCAGGAACGGTTTGTCCCTCAGCCTCTCGGACATCTTCCATGTTTCGTTGTTGTGCAAGTGTTCGTAGAATTGAGCGTTCTTTCCTGAACAGGTCGAGGCATAGTCACCGCCATTCTGATGATGATCTGCGAATTTCTTGTCACGTTCTCGTTCTAAACATACTCCTGTCAAAGCCTTCACTTCTCCTGTCGCGTTCGCGTATAAATAGATTCGTAAGACTTCGCTGATGTTAGCGTGCGTTATATCAGCTTGACGTAAACTTTGACCAAGACCGGTTGTATGCCTTGCCGGTTGAGGGATTCCTGGATCCTCGATCGCGCATACTAACAGATGTGTCATCACGGAGAGAAGTTCTTCCTCAGCTTCCTCATCGTTTAGCAGCGCGAGTTGGAGGCTTTTTAGGCTTGGGAGCGATTCCATATCTGAATGAGCGAAGATTATATGATCAATAAATTTTAATAGAATTATGTGCGATTAATACTCACGAATAAAATATTGCCAACGATTTCGATCAGTAATGCTTCAATGATTAATCTACTTCTAACTTTAGAATTGTCTCAAATCTTTTTCGACACACAGTTCAAGGTGATCATTGATAGTAAGGAAAAAATTGATTCATTCTCCTATTCTAATGCTCCAAAAGTAGGATAGAATGATTTATATGCATGGAAATCTTGAAAGACGTGGCAGTCGTGTCTTTGGTCGATCTAATATTACACCTGACGAAGATTAAAGTATAAAACTTGTAACCAAAGAAATCAAAGCGAAAGATACATAAAAAAATATGAAATACCAGAGAAATGTTATCTACATATTTTGTCAGGAAATTGTGAATCAGTCGTTTGATCAGCTTGAAAGTTCTAGTGTCAAGAACAAATTGTTCAGTATCCTAGTGAAGAAGGAACCAACGGAACGGAGGTTTACGTGATAAGTCAATAATCTGTTTCAGGAAAATTATTGCAAATCAAAGACCACCATAACCAATGAACAATTAAACCCACCAAAGCCTAAAGTCTCGCCGAAATTATGCAGAAATTCGAACACCATCACAATGTCTGCGAATGCCTGACCGGACAGCTTGAGACCAGGTAGTCGTTTCAATTCTGGCAGTGGTCTGTGATCTGAAAACAGAGAAATACCTTGTGTCACAGAAGCTCTATAATCGAGGAACAAAAGCTTGGCAGAGACGTACCCGTTAGCTCCATGTCCTCGACAGGCTTTCTGATCTGTTCGATCAGTTCCATCTCAACCTTCCTCTGTTCAGCTCGTTTCTCCTTCGTCGCTATTCTCTCGGCTCTCGCCTCTAACCGTTTCTTCTCTCTTTCCTCCATTTTTCGTCGATTTTCCAACGCTCGAACCAACGCCATGTGCTGTCTCCTTCGTTCTCTCTCCTAAAGTATCCAAGGAAAGGAATGTAACGAACGAAAGGCATAAAATAGAACAGAGAGCGTCTCATGCAGAGAAAATTGTTCTTAAAAGATCTCGTTAGCAGCACAACTTTGACACGCACGGACTACGGCAAACTCTATGACCGTTTCCAAAGATACTGGTTTCAGAGAAAGCTACAAACTCGATAGTGGCAATTCGACTTTTGGTTTTGTTCAAAAATACCGTGCACAAAAAACTCTTCTTTTACCCAACCACACTGTTCGATATTTCGTCTACTATTTTTCGAATGATCACTGCGCTTTGATGTCCACACAGCGTTCTATTTAGTATGATATTTCTTTTCCATTTCTCTACATATTTTACTCGTTATTCTGTTATTATTACGTGAGATGCAAGCATCTGAATTTTATATCGATATGAACGAAGCGAGAAAGAAGCGTCTTAGGATGCAAAATGACTGATATCACTGAGACGGGTATAAACATCGTTACCGAGGGACTGGTTAGTGAACGTGGATCTCTCGAAAAGCATTAGTGTCGTTCGCGTGGCGAAATTATTTTTCAAATGCGATTTCAATCGTCGATAACTCGTGGCAGATCTAAGATCCTCGACGAGAAACCGACGAGTCTGCGAGTGCAGATTAATTTCAACTAGTGACGCACAAGTGAACCTGATAACTTTGAACTCGTCAGCCGGTCTACCTTTCCGCTACTCATCGTTCAGCGAGCTATCGATTCAATCTTACCATATCACAATTATATAATTTGCCATAATTAAGCTTGATAAAACGATAACAAAGCGATAATTCAATTTAAATTCGCAGTAAGACTATCAGCAAATTTGACAAATTATTGGCTTATGAAAAAGTATCGTACGTATGGATTGGGATTTAATCGATCGACTGTGCTTCACTCTTTATTTCCTCCTTTCTTCGCGTAGACAGTGACGAGTTTAAAGTTGATGAAAATTCGATTCGTTCCGTTTTAAGGAAGTCGTCTTAAACTAGATTGGGTATGAGACATACCAGCTCGACGGTGTAGAGCATCTCGCGCTGCTTGGTGAGCTCCTGCATGTACATCTGCGGCACAAAACATATCCACAGTCCACCAGTGCTCAAACTAACTTTACGCGCTCAAAACTAACAGTACATCTTGGTTTCTTTGACGCGTCTTATAATCACGTTGCAAAATCAAATCTTTCATGAGAAATAAATTTTCGACTGTCTTTTTAAGAATTTCTTTTTTAAATCATATAAAAAAGACTGTTTGACATCTGTGTTCATCATAGTGACCATAGTTCGCGATTATCGTATCTAGATCAACGTCGATCAAAGACACTTTGAAATATAGATTTTATTTTTGGAAAAAAACGTAGTTTGAATCGTAATTACGTTACGTTCAAGCGGATCGTCTAATTCCATAAGGTAACTACGTCAAGACCAAATTCACGCCTGTGTCACAAACGAACGGAAACGAAAACTCAAGGCAACCATAGTGATGCGGCAGTGTGCCGCGAAATCTACGTTCAAGAAACCACAGAGACGAAATTACAGTGCTACATCACAAAACTAAAAAAAAAAAACAAAGAAAAGCAAACACATATGTAACAGAACAGTGTGACGTAGCGTGTGTCTGTGGAAATGACGAAATAACGGAAAACTTTGCGTCTCCTCACCGTCGTGTAGCTTTGCTTTCGTATGAAGATCAAAGTCAAATGAAATAATTCTTAAATAAATAAATGAAGAATTTAGAAGGAAAAAAAATACAATATAAAAAAACCGAAAGGGGTGTAAAAATTTTGAATAAAAAACGAAATCTATAGAAGTAACAATTAATGAATGCTTGATTGAAATAAAAAAAAGATGTAAAAAAAAAGAAACAAAAATATGATAAAAGTGAAAAATGAACAGATAATATAATTCAATATTTAATTGCTTAGCAGATTAGTAAATGGAGAGACGGATGGACGTAATAAGCTGTTTGTATAGGTCGAAAATATATAAAAAACAGAAGCTAATATCTCTACGAAAGAAATAAAAATACACACACACACACACATACACACCATCTATTCTACAGCAATGAGACGATACGCGAGAATGATCTTTGAAAATGATAGAAGATCTGCTTGCACTCACCTGTTCTTTCAGCATAACCGCCTGCTGCCGCTTCAGTTCTCGTTCCTGGGAAATCACAAGAGAATTCTCGTAGTCATTTTTCTCTCGTTCGTTAATTATCGTTCTTCTAAAAAGCAACTAACGAAGCTGCCGAGACGCGAGTATGTTCGCACGGGACAAAATAACGAAACGATAGGAAGGAAGAAAAAGAAAGATAAAATGACAGAAACTGGGGGGGAAAAAACGGAGGAGACACAAAACGTGTGATCGTTCAACGAGCAAAAAGGAAATTCCTATGGCCAAATTGTTAATGACAAACAACATCCCGCTTTGAGAACAACTTTCCGTGCCGATGAAACGCCAATTTCATGCCACGAATTAACAATAACAGGCTTTTGAAATTTTTTACAAATTTTTTCAAATACGCTGAAATAGAGGATAATTTTATAAAATTCGTAATCGAGTCTATAGCGGAAAGCAAGAGTCGAGTAACAAGTTGGAATTTAATTTATCGTTAAATAAAGCGCAGCTCGAATAAAGTTAGGCAATTTCAGGGTCGGTATTTTTTTTTTTTTTTTTT